AAACCGGAATATATGTAATAGTCCCTGCACTTTTCGATATACATACCAAATTTTAGATCGATACCTCTTTTTTCGGCCAAGTTATAGCGAAAAAAACTGTTGAAAATTGATGACGTCAAATTTTTGAACTCAATTTTTAGCAATTCTAGACCCCGTAGCGCAAAACGGAGACCGCCATTGAACTCCCCGTGACGAGCTGCATCGCATCGATACCCATTTTATGCCAAAATATCAACTTTGAAATTTGACCTGATTTGACCTGACCTTGACCTGACCTTGACATAACCTTGACCAAAACGTGACCTAAGCTATCCCAAAAGTCTGTCTGACCCACATAATCGCATTTGTCATGTAAAATGGACCATAAAACATGTATCACACGACACTTTCATATTGTGACCCCCCAGGTGACCTGATCTCTGTGACCTGACCTGGTATCAGTGACATCAAATAGCAAAATATGTGTTTGAAGAACATTTCCCCATCGATGATTTTCAATAAAATGCATTTTACTCGATTTTACAACGCATTTCTTGAAATGCCTATAAACGGTGAAAATTCGACCTTTGACCTGACCTGTGACGTCATCGGTTTGACTGAGTTCAATGAAATTGGGTCACAAGGTAGTTCCCCGTTGGGACTATCCAACGCCGTTTACCGCTTGTCGCTATGTTGCGTGGTTCCGAGATCTTAGGGGTGCAAAATGCCCCCCCCCCATCAGACCGCGTTGCTCGGCAGACCCCATCAGGGCGCGGGTTAAAACACCGAAATAAATCCATAAAATAAAGATGTTTGCTGTAAAAGAGATTAGGTGCAGATTTGGTCAAGTTAGGTGCATTCGCCGGATAGCCCGTCGTGAAAACGGCTTTTAGGTATAGTTCATTCGATGTGTCTTGACGAGAGAAACACAATGTCGGTAAAAGTAAGCTCGTGCAACGCTTGAGTCAAAAGTTATTGCAGAAAAACTGTTTTTAAAAATAAGCTTTTTTGACAGTTTTTGCCCCCTGCAGGCAAAACCGTTGACGTTAGGTCAAATATGAGAGAATTACTCAGAAAGGGCGTTAATAGGGCTATCGAATGCGCTTTTCCGCAACGCTGTTGAGCTCCATTGGTTCATGTGTGATGGTTGGCTTCTTGGAAATTGTCGACATTTGACCTGAAAATCGGCGAAATTTTGCCTTCAATGACTTCTGATGACCTGACCTTTGACCTGACCAAATACGTGACCGCAGTAGCTTCGTCATTATTTTTGGCGCTCTTTGCAACGCCGCCTTCCGCGTATCGCTATGTGGCCCAGGAGCCGAGTTAGAAGGGGGTGTTCAAACACCCCCCCCCCCCCCAGCAGGGCATGGAAATCCAACCCCCAGCGGGGCCCGCGTTGAGCGCCGGAAAGATATCGGCGGTTTGGGATAAAAGTATTAAACCGCTCGGTACAAAAATATTGAAAACGTCTCGCCTATCGGCTCGGCATTTAAAAGATTTATTCTACCTACTCGCGGTTTACTATATATTCTACAGCGTACCCAATGGTTGACTGGCTTAGGTCGCGACCCAATTCAATTTGTGAGTCACGGATATGCAGTCTATTTGCGTGGCCGCTGGCCCGCTACGTGTGCCTGCGAAATTCGGTCTCAAACAGTTATGAGGGACAACGAAGCATTCGTTGGACGAAGCGTGCCTTCTTGCAAAAGTAATCACCTATGAGCTTTTACAAAGGATGTTTTTATCCCACACGCTTCATAAGGTTTCACTGAACATTACAACGCTACCAATCTTCTTAAAAAAACTTGATTTGAGAGCTTGTTCTCATTTATTGCTCCCCCGTGCGGTGTCATGATATTGCTGCTATTACCTGAGGCCTTGCCGACCAAACGGTTGACTACGGTACCTAACAATGCCGGTCCCCGCTGCCCCGCCTTACAGCGTTCCCCAGCGTCGCGTGGGGCTGGGGCGCGGGTGGGTGGCTCACACTTCCTTACCCAGCAGTGCCAGGCCCAGCTCAGTAGCGGCACGATTGTCGCACTGTTCGGTTCGACACGGTCCGTCCCCGCTGCCGGACCGATCTTCAGCCCCCACCTCCAAATATCCCCACTAGCATGCCTGCCACGGCGCTGCGACATCCCCTCCTGCTGGCGCTGGCACTGGTGCTGCTGGAGCTACCATCAGTCCGCGGCTCCGGCCGGCTGATGCCGATGCTTCCCTGGGGCGACCACAACCGCACCACTCTGGCCACCCTCACGGCCGGCAGCCGCGTCCAGTGCGGTCTGCTCTGCGCTCTGCGGTCCGACTGCCGGGCCGTGGCTCGCCTCTCCACCCCCGGTGCCGGTCCGTGCCAGCTCCTGGCCGCTGCGGAGGGGGAGGAAACTACAACGACTAGCCCAACGGCGCCCCCAACGACTACCACTGTTCCGACCACCACAGAGGCCGCCCCGCTCAGCTGCGACACGGACTGGACCCGGCTCGGCGACGCCTGTTTCCGGCTCTATCCTGACAGAATGGGCTGGGAGGCCAGCAAGGCTCTGTGTCGCAGCGCGCGGTCGGGGGCCGAGCTGGCGTCCATACAGTCAGCGGAGGAGAACCAGTATGTCAAGTCAGTGCTGTCCCGCTCCAGCGCCTTTATTGGACTGGAGCACACGGCTGCGGCCAGCGGCAGCTACCAGTTCCGGTGGCTGCTGGACGGCAGCTCGGTCAGCTTCTCCCACTGGCGTCAGTCGCCCGTGCAGAAGCCCGACAAAGATCCCAGCAAGCACCTCTGCGTGGCGGCGCTGGCCGGGGAAGCAGAGTGGATCGACTACGTCGTCAAGGACGGCATGCCAGAGTACAAGTCGCTGTGCAAGTACCAGCTCGTCTGATTAATGATACTTCTTGCCAGATCAAATAAGATCGAATCATGTTCAATGGCAGCCAGCTTCATTGCCACCATCTGACGGGCTCATTAGCCTATATGCTTGAGATGCTGCTTCATGCGTTTGACACTGAATGCTTATATTGCACCCGGTGAGAGATGAAGTCACTTCTCAGCTTCAACTTAGCCTTTAACATTGCTGTATTCGAAATTATTTTAAGTTCATGCTTCAACAATAAGGTTCCAGTCACCTTGCACGGCATCAAGTCAATGTGACACGGACATCGGCAATGTTTAAAATTTAGATCCTCATATACAGCAGCATTTAATGTAAAAACTATCGAAAGCTGCTATGCAGGAAACTCTTCTTATTTGTCTTACCTAAAGTGTTAATGCATCACAATTCACAATCCTGTTGTAACTATAAATTTATCTATGCATATCTGATCATATACCTTACCTCATAGGAAGCGAGACGTACAGTCGTGTACAGGTTGATGGTCCGCTACTCTTTATCCACCGGGTTCCTATGGCTCAGCATTGGCAGCAGCCGCCTGGTACCGGTAGGCTGTGCCGCATGACCCGAGAGTGAAGCGGCACAGCCTACCCACACTGTATGACACCGGCTCGGGTCGCCTGGTAGAGCGATTTGACTGGACGCTGCGTTACAGCGGCTGGGGGGAGGGGGGGGGTAAAGGTCAGGCCTGTCTATTTGGCTCGGCTCGGCGGATGAGGCGGGCTGGAGTGTGGTGTGGGACGGGGGTGATGTGGGGAGGGAGTGAGCGGACCTGGGGCTGGGTGTGTGTGGTCACTTGTCGCATAGAACCGATCGTAATCCACCCTCCAAAAATTCGCTTTAGAGATATTCACAAAACCCAGGGGGGTTCAAACACCCATCTCCCAAGTGGGGTGCGGAAGGACAGGTAAGGGTCCATACGGTCTCCTCATAAATTGCAGCAAAGAAAGAAAACAGACCTGTCACCAAATAATCTTTCTGAAAAGTGGACTAATCGCATAGCCTCGGACATAGAAATAAACATCCAGCACGCGAAGCGCCTCGAACCGGGCCTCTCACTACCGGTCAGTTTGACAGTCTAGCACTCCTACGCTGAGCTACACCGGATGGTGATCGGGGCAAAGTCTGGCCGGGCGGGCGGCGGGGCCGGGAGGTCGGCAGCAAAGTCAATCAATGTTTTTGTGGTTGCGGGTGCCGGTCGCTCTAGCTTGGTGGAATGATGATGGATCATTGGCAAAACTTTCAACGTGGAGTCCCGGTTCGAGCCTCATCGGGGCTCCGGCTACTTTTCCGAGTTAGGATCTGGTTTGATTTTAGTGGTTGCGAGCCATTTATACGGTTTTATATCTACATGTCGATTGTCGATTGATTGATTGATTCATTCATTCGTTCATTTAATACGTGTCGACATTTAGCATACGAATTGACATCCAGGATCAATCCGATCAATCTACCATTTTCATATAAATATCATGCATATATGTGGCACAAGACCTATGGTTGCCTCGATACCGTGCCAAATCACGTTTTGCACAATGCACAAGTAAATTATATTCGCTGGGTCTTCCGTGCATTGTGCTTAGCAAAAACAGGAATGCAATTGTTAAGCGACGCAAAATGTGCAATGCAGCAAGTGACCACACACACCCGCCCAGCCCCCATGGTCCACCAACACGCCCCACACCACTCGCCAGCCCACGCCAACCACCGAGACGAGCTCCTCCCCCCGCGCTGGTCTGACGCGACAGCTGGTCTACAAAGCGATCCACCCGGCGACCCGAGCCGATGTCAAACGGCGTGGGTAGACTGTGCCGCTTCACTCTCGGGTCATGCGGCACAGCCTACCGGTACCAGGCGGCTGCTGCCAATGCTGAGCCATAGGAACCCGGTGGATAAAGAGTAGGGGATCATCAACCTGTACACGACTGTACACAACGGCACACTGGTATACACAATACACAAACGAAGAGAAATAAGAGAATATTGGAACAGTTTCAACAGCTAAAACTTTTCATAATTTTTAGCCGCATCATGAACTAACGAACTTTTATGGATAATAACTCATGCTTAAGTCTGAACAGCAACGCTAACATGAAGCAATCGTTGAGCATTGAAGCTGAAAATTATAAAGAGCATCGCTCAGGTATGCAGTACTGTTGAATATTTTTTTTTCGGTCACATATTACATTCACATACAACCTTCATATATGCCTATAAGTATACCCAATACCACCGACTAGCATACAGCATACAGGGGCGGATCCAGCTCAGTTTTTTTTTTTGGGGGGGGGGGCAAACCATAACAATTTATCGATTCTTTCCATGCATCGTCCATAGGCGTAATGTTAAAATTATGCCGTTTGGGGGGAATGCCCATTTTGCCCCCCCTCCCCCTGGATCCGCCACTGACAGCATACACAATTAACATTGGTGTCTGGTGATATGCTAGTGTAATGCATGTTTGATGTCAGGTAAGTAAATCATTTCATTGGTTACAAAGTTCTGCCATGATAAAATGCTGACAGATACTAGCTGACACCTATCCAAACAATACCATGCCTCAAAGAAGACCGCAATTGTCTATAAAAAGAACACGCATGTCTCACATCTCTCGATACTACACCTAACTCTCAGTATATTCACTTCGGTGACTGTGATTATATCCATTCTGAGCACTGATGACTCCAGCGGGATTCAGCCAGCCACAGTAGCCGAGTTCTACCAGCCTCCTCCGTGTTCTACCAGCCTCCGAGTTCTACTAGCCGAGTTCTACCAGCCTCCTCGTCCCACGACGGCGGGGTCCGTGGACTCGAGTTTACGCAGAGTCTCGTGGTCGCCAGGCGACGGAGTCGCATTGTCTTCCTCGTGGACCCGTTTCAGCGAATAGCGACTGACATCCGCTGTGAACCATTATTGATATGGTTAAGGAGGAGCTGACATGCTGGTAGCTACTTAATTACCTACGTTGTATTATTTTCATTATCAAATTCACAAACATGGATCGTGGTTGACTGACCTTTAAGTTACAATTTGAAGAATGTTTTAGTACAACTGCCTGCGGCTAAACGACGTTGAAATCGTCGCACAGCCAATCATTCGATCAATTTTCATATGCACATAACCTATACGTGCCTACGTGGTAATATACACAATTGACTCTTGAATAACGCTACTCCAGTAGGTATTCGTGGGGCTGATGGACACGCTGCAGTGTCTGCAGCTCATCCTTCCTCACCTCTGATCCGTGTTACCACGCGCAGCACCATGTCACCGGCCCTGTCGAGTCTGCCCGGCCGCTCCTCTCTCTCCTGATCTCGCTCGCTGGGGTCGGGAAACGGCGACACTTTATCCATGGAGCGGTGTCGCTGAACGCCCACGTTCGGCCGCGCCGACAGGTCAATGTCCGTGATACCCACTCGGTTCTGGGAACGAGAACAGAAGAGCGCTCATGAGTCAACATATCATGTCATTTGAATAACTAAATCAATCAACGGTAGGTAAACGCCCAAGGCATGTAATTGGATAAAACTATAGTCTGTTTTATGTAGGCGGATTACTTGGAGCGCTAAGTAAGCGCACGTGAGTCATCTATACCTATCTTTAACACTGGCCAGATAAAAATATCAACTTTCTCTTGATTTTACTTTTTGGCCTTCTGTTCAATCTTACCGCTCGTTTCGTGCCGTATTCACTTGTGCGTTTAAAGCAATCCGCCATCGTTAAATAAACAGACATACATAGTTAGGTGTCTCACACTCACACCAACGAACCATCGGCCAATGTCACAACTATCTGTAAGAATCTTGGTTACAACCAATGTAACCATTTATTTTTCTAAATAAAAATAACTCGTAAAAACACTTTTTAGAAATAATAATCGTTCCCCTCCATCACGCACCGTTGCTCTCCACAGGGCTCGCTGCGCCTCTGTTCGATTCTTATCGTTCAGCAGCACAAGGAATACGAATATGAAAAATCCTTGTAGAGAGTTCAAGATTGTAAAGACGACTGCAAAGAATGAAAGTCCTGAAACAAAATGAATCAAAGACATGTTGTTAGAAAATAAACACCATGCATGTTTCGGCTTTCATATACATAATTCAGAGAGAGAGAGTGAGAGAGAGAGAGAGAGAGAGAGAGAGAGAGAGAGAGAGAGAGAGAGAGAGAGAGAGAGAGAGAGAGAGAGAGAGAGAGAGAGAGAGAGAGAGAGAGAGGAGAGAGAGAGAGAGAGAGGCAGAGACAGAGAGAAGAACAAATGTTTTAAATCTATGGAAACGGCAAAATATTCACATAACTCAGACGCTAACCATTATTGAAGTAGAGGAACCCAAACAGCCATGTGAGCCCCAGGTTGACAACTAGGGAAGCCGAGCCGATCCAGGGCTGCATCGTCACGTGACTCCTGCCCTTGGTGCACCTCTGGAGCATCGCCAAAGCGAGGGCAGCAACGTTCACCTGACGGACGGAAAATGAGGAACGGGGATGAGAAAGCTTCGATAATAAGCGTGGAGGTCATGAGTCTACGAAGCTAATTCAAAGTCAGAAGGGAAGTGTATTTTTACGTTACTGTATTATGCATTGTTGCGTACAAACGGTTATGAAGTCGGCAACACCACGTCCCTTGAGCTCATATGCCTCAGGCTAATCCAAATGAATAAGAAAGGAGGCGATCATAGAGATCTTATAAAATATCTACATATGTTAAACTGATATGGAGGTAACGGGCATAAGTGATTAAAGCAAAATGAATACCTATTACTCTATGCCGCATTATCAGACATTGCATGTCCCTTGAGGAAAAATGATCGGAGTCCCGAGTCTTACCGTCAGCACCACCAGCACAGGACCAGCGAACGCCCAGATCAGTCCGTTCTCGACGCTGAGCCAGCATCTATGTACAGCGGGTTAGTAGTTACGGTTAGACCAGCACGACAGGTTAGTTCGAGGCCCTAGGAAAAGGACTAGGAACTTAAAGCGATGGCAGCTCAAGGTCTCAGGCTCTTTAGCTCAGGTCAGAGCTAATTCTGCGCTTACAGCGGAGCACTCGGCTGGTTAGAGCTAAGGCATTAGCTCATGTACCAGCGCAGTACATTTTATATAGTTTCGCATTATTGATATGGCCTAGCAACTTCTGATATCTGATTTACGATTAATTTGAAACAAGGTCAACTCATAACTGCCATAATTTTCCAACTTTTGTACACGAATAAGCCTTATCCTCATTCCTTATGCCTCATTCTCATTCTTCTCACTCCTTATTCCTTATGTTGTAGCGCCAACATATTGAGCCTTTAGTCGTGACTCGTGAATGTAAGATGTCGCAAACGTTAATGCCTAATTTATGTACCTACACAATAGAGCCGCAAAAGTTATCCATTGTCGTACCAAATTCGTATTTGCTCTGCGCCCTATATAGTCTCTCGCGATATACTTACGCAAGTTCTGTGCCGTATCCCTCCCCTTTCGTGATAGAAAGAGAGACTATGACAATAACTGCAGGCACGCCGTAGCCAATCATGTAGTATTGCCGCATGTAGTAGCCTTTTACACTTAAACCCTGAAAGAAACGGAATGGTTTGAGCAAGTGGCAGAGCAGCAGTTTTAGTAGCTTAAAAACAAGCTGCACTGCAAAAGCAGCAGTGAGAAAGCCGCGAATCGTTCATAAAGTTACCGTTAAAAGTGCATAAGCTCATGGTGGCTTACAAAATTATGGACTTAGAATGAAACAATGAAGCTATTTCTAACGATTGATAAAAGTTTTCATAAAAAGGTAATAAATTTGTAAACTTGTAGCATTACTGCATGTACACTTAAATGTAGTACACTTAAAGGCTGTGTTAAGTTCAGTGACGGCGAAAGTTTTGCGACCACAGCTCAGGTCCATGTTCAATGTTCATGTTAGTTTTGAATGCATTTTGAGCATCATTTCAATGTCATAACAAAGTACTGGCGGTGCTGTTCGTACATACTTTACACACTACACAGCTATGCATGTTTAGAGCCATGCGTGATAAATGAGCCCACTTACTACTTACTAGATACAACTGTATGCATATTTGAATTCCTTCGATGCACATCCAAACGAAGGCCGCCAAGAAAAGGAAATGCAAAAGCACAGCGACCACAGCGCATCCTGTTTCATTCCCGTGCGGTTCCAGTCCTGAAATAAGGAAAACGAGTTTATTTTTTTAATTAATTGGATATGATCGTATTACGTGCTGATCGAGCATGATGTGGGAAATTCATGATCCTGTTAACCCGGCAGGCGGTGGGCCTACCAGCCACCTTCCGCGCGGTGGGGGGGGGGGGGCACTTTCCCCCCTCCCCCCAGTATCTCCGAAACTACTGGACAGATCCGGAAAATTCAAACGGCGTTCGATAGCCCTGTCAAATTTGTCGAAGGAAACCAAATTTCAATGACCTTGGGGTCACCGATGACGTCACAGGTCAGGTCAAAGATAAAATGTTTCACCGTTCACGGGGCTTCAAGGGAAAGCGCTATAACACCGAGTAAAACGCATTTTGTCGAAAATCAGCGATAAGGCGTCAGTTGTCTAGTACATATGTTGCTATTAGAGGTCACTGGTCATACCAGGTCAGGTCACAGGTCAGGTTACCAAAGGTCACCAAGGGTCACAACATGAGCCCAACTTTACTAAGGTTATGCGATGCATGTTTTATGGCCAGTTTTTCATTTCCAATTCAATGGTGTTGGTTATAAGACCATCAGGTACGGTTTAGGTCACTTTCTGGTGGAGGTCAGGTCAAGGTCAGGTCAAAAAAGGTCAAATTTCAAAGTTGATATTTTTGCATATAATGGGTATTGATTCGATGCAGCTCGTCACGGGGAGTCTAATGGTGGTCTTTGTTTTGCGCTACGAGGTCTAGAATTGCTAAAAATTGAGTTTGAAAATTTGACGTCATCAATTTTGAACAGTTTTTTCGCTATAACTTGGCCAAAAAAAGAGGTATCGATCTCAAATTTGGTATGTAGATAGAACGCGGTAGGGGCTATCACATATATTCCGGTTTTTTTCGAAAATCAAAAAACTTTTTGGATTTTTTGGCTATTATATTCAAAAAATCTATTTTTTGATTTTTAGGGGTCAAAATCCAACAAATTCGAAAAACCGAAATAGCAGTTTTGTAGCCCCTTTTATTCCACACCTTTTATGTCTGAAACATTTTTCTGTATCTCTAAAGCTGTAGGCCTGACAGCTCTTCCCGCGAAACCTTTTTTTGGGTCGAAAATGGCAAAAATGACGTCACTCTGACGTCATTAGCGGCCAACCTATCATAGCCTTTGGAAAAAAAATTTTGGTCACCATGTGCGCTAGCTGCTCCCGGGAGGGTACTGAAAGTTTGGTGACGATCGGCGCAGCGGTTCTCGAGATATATCGAAAAAACTAAAGGGGGGGGGGCAAAAAAATGCCCCCCCCCCACCGCCTGGAAGGTTAACATGGAGCATAGCAAATTAACCCTCGCATGTGTAGGGGGAGGGTCGGATGGACCCCCTCCCATGGTTTTTCGCGAATAACTCGCGTAAAAAGCGGCCGATCGCGACGAAACTTTCAGTACTCTCGCATTGATCAATTTTACACCTACCCTGAAAGTTTCATGACCCTGACCCAAATGACCTTTGACCTGTGACCTCTTTTCCGAGACCACGTTTGGCCGGCATCGCGATTCCGCGTATGTCGGCTCGCATTAGCCGCGCGTTTGCAAGCTTTTCGTGGTTTCAAACGTTCAAACATGTGATTTGATGTTGCTCCCATGCACCCAGCCAGCAATTCGTCCGGGATGCGGTTGGGGACGGTCGGGATAGGCTCCGGATGTCCCGACTTGTCCCTACCGGGTTGGGTAGGCCTGGGTTGTCCCAATCGATACCGGACCTCGATGGCCGGCGGTAGGGGCGACTCGGGATTTCCGGACCGCATGCTTAATCGGTTGGGACGCGGTACGGATAGCCCAATCGAATCCCATGTTTAGACAGGCTTGTGATTTACGTTGTTATCCCAACCGATCTGGGAAGGCGCTTCGGGCACCATATCCGGTGGCCCAGAAAGTCTGGAAAAGCAATCAGATGGGCCGCGTGCAGGCAGACGCGTCCTCTGAGCGCAGCGGCCAGTCTAGCTGCCGCGTTGGTCAAGTGTCGATCCCTCCTTTGAGCTACTGCATCGGGATATTGCTTTTGAACTGGCTCTAGCAAGCGGTCGGTTCAACTGTTGTCGTTGCAGGGAAATCAGTCCGTCTTTGAGAACAGGGTGAGTATAGTGCACACTTCATCCGTGATGTAGGGAGCGGGAAAGCTATAGGTAATAGAAATTGTTATGTTCGTTGTGGTTGTACGGCATGTGAATTACACTCGTGCTGTCGCATGTTTGATCAGTTATCATGGACAGAAGATGTTTGGTCTCATTGTCAAGTGTCGTTAATGGTTGCATTGTAGGTTTGAAACCTGAATTACCAGGCATAGGTACGATGTGAAATGTCAGATGTGGATTATTTCTTAGTGATTTTAGTGTGTCCCAGACTTTGATTAATAACCTCTTGGTCATTTTCAGATGCTCTCTTCGCACAGTGGTGAACCGCCCGACCAGATGCCAGCCGTCTAGTTTCGCGGTGGCTCTCTGAAGCTCGTGACGGCAGACGGACACACTGTCCGCAGAGGAGCCGACACGAACAAGGCGCAGGCGTGCTATAATGACTGTGAACACCGGAAGTGAGTCCGCTGTGCCAGCGCCTTGCAGCGGCGCTAAGATGATGGCCGACGCCACGAATGTGCTGGCCAGGCTGTGAATTTGTGAAAATTTGACTTGTGTGCAACCAGTAAATTTGTGAATATATTTCAGTGTCCAATGTAATTCATTTTGTCGTGCAGGCATTATAAAGGTTGAGTTGGAGAATAATGAAGAGGCGAGGGGGTTGCGGTGGCGCAAGCAAAGTGGTCACATCTGCATAACAGCAATCTGCGGTTATAAGACTGCGGTTAATATGTCAGATGCCTGCGGTATTCCCAAACCGGCCGTGCGGGCCGAGTTGGGACATCCCGATCGGGATCGGAGTTCATCGCTTGTTAAAATGCCATAAGGCGGTCCGGATGCGTGCGGGATTTCCGAACCGGTTGTACGGGGAGATTTGGGGAATCCCGATCGGGATCGGAGTTCAGCGCTTGTTAAAACGTCATAAGGCGGTCCGGATACGTGCGGGATCTCCCAATCGGCCCTGCGGGGTAGGTTGGGATATCCGGACCGTTCCAGCCCGTACAAAGTGTCTCATTTCCCAATGCCGTCCCACTCCGGTCCCGATCGGGGTGGTGCGGGCTGAGTCCGAAAATCCCGATCGGGAACGGAGTGGGATTGCTGGCTGGGCATTAGGGTGGGTGTCAAGGTCACCTGAAGGTCAGGACAGGTCATTGGCCTTTGGTGACCTCGGTTCACTTTTTCGAGTTTTACATGTTTCTAGGCTAGTTTTGGAGCTGAATTCGAATTTAGCAACCATTTGAACGTTTACGAAGTAGTTTTGGTGACTTCGTAACATGTTACGAAGCTGTCAGAGGCGGTTGACACGTACCTACTACGAATACCCGTCACGACGCCTACTGGTTGACCTGACCTGACCTGACCCGACCTGGTCCAAATGCTTAAAGACATCATCTGTGATCAAAACTACCATGATATTCGTGATCAGCACCCCGAAAAACCCCTTAGCAGCCACACTTCACGACTTTCTAACAGGTCCCGATTTTCCCGACTTTGGGTCATTGACCTGACCTGGAAGGTCAACCAATGACCTAGGACCAATTGGGTATCATTGGCTTCCTCTCGTCACGGGCAACACGCTCGTTTTTTCCGCGAAGCTCTAGCTCGATCAGGGGCCAAACGGCAAGGGGGGTCCAACCGACCTCCGCACACAAAAACACGCTAATCCACTGACCGACGAGCAGGATGAACTCGGCGGCGAACAGGCAGATGCAGAGGTTGCGGTGGATGGCGAGCCGCTGACTCATGATGGCCTGTCGGTAGCCGTCCAGTGAGGCGTCGCGGCGGAGAGCTGGGATGGCAGTGAACACCAGAAGGCAGGCAGCCAGGCAGAGCAGGCTCAGCACACAACCGAGGGTGGTCAGCCAGCCCAGCACCAGGTCCAGCGGCTGACAGAGACATTCAGGCGGCCTCAGCGCGCTTTGCTCTTGTGAAAACATGTGGACATAGCCTTGCGGTACTATGCAAAGTCTAAATCTCATTTACTCACCATTTAGCTGTAAATGGGTCCAAGTGGATATGTTTCTTTTAAAAGTTAAAACATTCTATGTTTTGTTCTTCATTTCCTTCAATGGATTGAAGAAGACGGCAATGGCAATGGCGGTTATTGTTATCGAAATCAAAATAACTACTTTTCCAAGCACGCCGTACCGTTTCCTACACTGCAACTGAACACTTTTTAGAGCCCCAGTCGCCTGAAATCTGTTCTGTGTCTGTCGGCCGCCGCTTACCGATCCCTCCTGGATGATGCCGTTGATGTCCATCAGGGTGGCAAAGCTGGTCAGGTGGTCGCAGAAACACTCCACGCTGTCATTGGTCACCGCACCCACTCGGCACCCATTGTCCGACCACTGAGATAAGAACACACAGTTGTACGAATGGGCGTAGCGATTAATTAAAACTAAAATGACAAACACTCTGGATGATATGCAAAGACGCATAAACTATGGTTTACTGGCAAGACTGTTTCAATGCTTTAATACCTATCTCCTCACCAATGAAGAGAAAAGAAGCGGTGAACCAGCTCTAAGATGATGTCGTTGTCATAATCTTACTAAATCATTTAGCTACGCTCAATATTCAAGACATTCAATGTACAAAGCTATGCTTATAAAACGTTTTATCTGTAACTACATACATACCAGATTAGGCTGAAATTTATCACATCATTGTAAAATGTAGAGCTCACCCGGCTGATGGAGTTGTTCCAGAACACACACTGCACGTTGGAGAGGTTGAACTGTCTCGCCGAGAGCCGAGTTTGAAACCGGAGTGTGACACTCGAGGTATTAAACTCCACCGAGACGTTATCGACACTCGCGCTGATCATCGGAGAGTTGACAAACTCGGGAAACTCCAAGTTCTCCTGGGCATACCATTGGTCTGACGTTCTGAGAAACAAAAGTCATTGGTGTCGACAGCTGTTTAGGTACGGGTAAACCCGCGTATTTCGCTTGGGAATTATGTACTACAGGGCGTTGCAGGTAAATCCGACACTTGGAAAAAACGTGTTTATTCGAGTGCTTTGCTCACGATGAAAAGTTTGGGCAGTATGTTACATCTCTATGATCAATTGCCTCCCCCAAAACACAACTAACGAATTTTTCTTCAGCAACGAACGTCTTCCAGCAAGACTCCGCCCCGGCGCACAAGGCCAGGACGACGCAGGCGTGGCTGCTCAACAACGTCCCTCACCACTGGTCGCCGGACTTGTGGCCGCCCTCCTCACCTGACTGCAACCCCCTCGATTATTTCTTCTGGGGCGTGATCGAGGCCAAGACCAACAAGCACGCACACAATACCGTCGACTCTCTCAAGGCCGCCATCGTGGCAGAGTTCGCCGCCGTACGGACAAGGACACGGTCGCCAAGGCGTGCGAATCATTTCGCCCTCGGCTTGAGATGGTCGTCGCCGCCGACGGCGGTTACATCGAGTAGAAGTGCAGCATATGACTCGAACTGGTGCTGAATAAAATGCCAGGCCTGTGTGTGCAATATTCATGCTTTCATTGCCGATTTCGTATTTTGCCTCTCAAGTGTCGGATTTATCTGCAACACCCCTTGTTTGATTGAATCTTATAAATGTGCTGTAACTTGATGACACATAAAGAATATGTTGCCGGCACTATCACATCCCCCAGGCTTCCTGACCTGCACTCCTGACTCTGAAGCAGGCAGTCCATGTTGCCGTACTCGACGAAGACGATGGTGGTGTTGCCGCTATCGTTGAACCTGCCGACCTCGTCTGGCAGCGTCACAGTGGACCCTTGCTGTGTGCGGTACTCGAGGTTACCTTCCAGTGATGTATACCGACCCGTGCGCACACCTGCCGAAGACGTCACGCCGCTTATGTAAATGCGTTTAAAATCGTTGTCAAAATCGGGACCATGCCAAAACCTCTCTGTGCTAAATTGTGTGCCTAGGCTGCCATTCTGCTTGAATAGCATTATAATGCTGGTGCAACTTGTAACTCAAATACTAGACGTCAATGCCAATGCCATGTCGTATTATAATCCCGTAAAATTGTGCCTTTACTCGCTAAATAAACATATGAAGCAAGCCTAGTTACGTTCACAGAACACTCACGGATTGTGTCGTAGTTAAAGTCTGCGTGTGTGTCGTTGAGATAGGGCGCCAGCAGGTAGGCCGACTGTTCCACATTGGTCTGTAGCGTCGAGGAGGTGAGCGATCGGTTGGCGCGAGGCATCGAGTGCCACGACTCTTCCTGTCGGGTCAGCTCGCCCACCAAATAGGTGATATTGTTTACATACCTGGAATAGACCAAGGAGCCAAGAATAAGGAACCATGGGCACGTCAACTATATCTCAAATGTTCCTTTTAGACGGTCAATTACACTTTTGTATTGTGCGAATGGATTTACAGTGACAACGCCGAACGCGATATAGTGTAAGTGCAGCAATGCCTGACCAGCGGTCTAACAGTGCTGCGCAATGGTACGGCTCTCGCGAGATTAAGCGGTATAGGTTTGGCACTTTTACATTTCCGGTTATATCTCAGAAACTAATAGCTTGTGAACCAACAAGTCGATCGCATCTTCAACACTTAAAAGCTTAAGTCGACGAATGCTGCTGCCGCCGCCGCCGGATCGTTACGTACTGGCTCACGACCTCCTTGTCCTGGTCGGCCTGTCCGCTGAGCTGGGCCTGCTGAGCGGACACCATCTGTGGCAGCAGCTGCACAGAGTTGATGACGTCACCCGACGTCAGCGGCTTGTTCTGTGACGTCTGCTCAGTGACGTTGGAAGCCAGGTCGGAGACGATGTCCGAGACGGGCTCGGTTCCGTTGTCCAGACGGTTTTTGGCGTCATCGGTGTTTATTTTTTCCGAATGACATCCTCTGTCGGGGAGAATCCTCTTTCGGTCAAGTTTTAACTTCAATAGTTTTCGCTCACCGGCCAATGGCTTTGCATACTTGTGCAGTGGGAACTAAGTAGGCCAGCATATGCTCTGTCATATGCTCGTCTGATATGTTCAAACGATTGTTACCTATCAAAATTATTTATGATTCCACGTTCCCTGTGACGTTGGCGATAAGGCCAACTGCACTTGAAATGTTATGATGGATTTACATTCTTCCGTTATGAGGTGGCAGTGTTTTCCCGCGCCGGGCCTGGGACGGGGTGTTTGAACACCCCCTCCCCCCACTGAGGTTTTTCGCAGGTATCTAAAAAACGGCGGCGCGGAGCGCCACCGTTTTTGGCACACCTGTTTGTGCATCTTTTCCGCACAAGTTGTGAAAATTCCAGACCCAGGTCGCCTTAGGTCAGGTCACCAGGTCACGCCAAGTGACCTCACCTCAGAAAAAATAAAAGAATGCTCGTCATAGCTACACCGATTGATCGATTGCCTTGAAGCTTTCAGAGATTGATTAGAGCAGCCAGGGGTGTCGTTTTCCGAAAATGATTGGTAGTGCCCAAAGGCGGCGGCTTGCCATATATGACGGGGCTTACAAGGTAGGGTACCCCCAAATCTGCCTTTCTCATCGGATTTCGGCCACTTATTTTTCGCCCTGGTCATTGACAAGACTAACCGAAATCTAAAAAAAAAAAACACAAAAAAATTGGAAATCTGGGTCCACACCGGACGCCATGCACAAAACGTGCAGTTATATAGGCAATAGTGTCGGAGGAATGCACGCCATTCTGAAAGAGGCCCACATCGACTTAAAAGGACGGCTGTGCTGAAAGGGGACAGGAACAGCTTTGAGGGCCCAAGCCGACTAAAAAAGACGGCTGCGGGGCCAGGAACGGTTTTGAAGACCCACGCCAATTGAAGGGTTCGACAACTAACGAGGACTGGAAACACAACGATAGAAAGACCTGCTTGCCAAAATAAAAGGATGACAGTACGAGGGGCGTTCAGAAAGCTACGGGCCCGACCATGAAGGAGCAGAGAGATACAGCATCGACTCATTAGACCAAAAAGTTCATTTATTCAAATAAACACCGTTAAGACAAACACATTTCGCGCAGCGCTTCGCGAGAGCCCTCAAGGCCTCCATAACCAAGTGGGTTTTGGACCCATCCTGCACGTCCAAGACGGCTGATTTCGTCTCCCTGCTGTTAGCGAGGTTGCCGCTGCTAATTTTCTTATGTTGGGGAAGAGGTGGCAACCACTAACCAGAGTGTGCAAGGTTCGGAGAGAAAAAAGTGGATGCGACAACAACTCGAAGCTCATCGCTTCACTGTTCGTCATCCCGCCCATGTACGCAGGTGCGTGGTCGCGGATCAGGTGCACACTTTACGTCAGCTTCCCTATAGCCTCTCCTCGATGTTTATCGAATGGACGCACATCATCATTGTGTGCCCTGTTTTGGAAAGTTGACGAGCGAAGGGGGGGGGGTCGCATCGACCCCTCCCCCTGCCAGGCCTTGTTATGAAAAATGCCCAGGGCGAGGGTTAACGCTTGGTGCCTTTTCTCACTAACTACTATGAAACGAATCACTGCTCTCTTCTGGGCGTCGCCCATCCTATCCGAATGGCGAACTATGCTACGAATAGAAGCCCGAATCAATCACAGAAGAGACTTAATTAATGGCCACTTACTTAATTTGCGTAAGTGGACATCCCAATAACACATCATTTAACACACCGCCTTGCAGGCCAAAATTCCAACTCCTTCATTGTTCGGCCCGAAACTTTTTGAACGCCCCTGGCCCCCTCGTAGTTACGAGCTTCAGTTTTCGGGGTCTGATGCGGTAATGACCTGGCGTTGAACCCTGGGGAATCAGGCTGCATCACCCACTCAAATCAATATACCTATGGCCTAATCTGGAGCACCGCGGCACCTTCCGAAGTCGGTGTAGGGCCTCCAGCGGCTGGTGTGGAGACGGATCGGGGTCTATTAGGGGCGGTCGCGTGGTATGCGGGACTCAGAGGCAGTTATGGACCTCTATAACCAATTGCGTTTTCGAGCCTCTTAAAATCCATTAAGGACCGGAGTCCTAGACACGTGAAACCTCATTGTCAGCTACATGCACCTACTGTGGCTAGAACCTTATTTATGTACTTGCATATGTGCTTATTTAATATTTGCTTATCTGTTTATTTTGATTTTTTATCAACTGATAAGTGACAAAAGATTGGTAGGGCTCAGCGAACATTGGTAGGGCCCAAATAAACATTGCTAAGGCTCGGGCCCTACCAGGCCTATACAAAACGACGCCCCTGACTATTGTGAAACTTGGTAGGTAGGTAGGTAGGTAGGTACCACATAACTTGAAATTACTTGACGTAATGACATGATGTGGAAAGTGAAAATGATACCTAGGTATTGATGGAAATTTATGGACTTAGGTACGCTACAAGAAGATTGAATTGGTCAACCAATTCAAATTCAATCTACTTGTGGAGTAAGTCTATAGATTTTCATTAGCGTCGCCACGGGGGGGGGGCAAGCGGGGCAGCTTGCCCCCCCCCCAACCTCGGACCGGGCACCCCTGAGACCGATACATATCCGATGAGATTTTGGAGTCGGGAAAAAATGGGGGTACCTTTCTGAGAATGCCTGTGAGGTCAGACTCGGTTGGAGCGTGCAGTTCAAACCAGAGTCGGAGTTGCAGTCGCCAAAATCTTCATGACTTGGACTCTTAACTCGAAAATGTAAATGCTGTGATTCATTCCCTGTTCCTATTTGGTTCTTTATTACATTTTATGGCTGACTTTCATAAGTTTTGGAGTGCTGACACATAATTTTCGTTCAAAGCGTGACACGAAATATTCGGGGCCTTTCTCAACTCTCGTCAAATGTCTGCGACAGGCTCAAGTACCGTTCAAGTGCGCTTGCTTTTCACACAGGCTCCTAAGGAGCTCCACTGAGCTCTAAGAAGCTTTCAGAGGGCCCAAACCAGCCTCTGAGAGTCCCACTGGTGTACATGTTCTCTGAGGGCCCATACAGGGATCTTTGAAGACCTTATACATACGTAGACCTCTGAAGGGCCACACGAATCTTTGAGGATGCCTTCGAAAATTTATGACAACCATAACTGGCTTCTGATAGTTTAGCCGAACTTTTCAGGCGACAGACTTTGCTAACCCCAAGCCGGCATCTGAGGGGTCACAACTCACGTGTCCCTCCTAGGGCCGCAACACATGCTTCAGTATGTTTCTACGTAGGGTCCTTAGGGATTCGACACAGACCCCGATGGTTCACACTGTTATCCGAGGGCTCCAGGGTCACCCTGGGCCTATAGTCTCTTAGCGCCCGCCGCCCACATTGGCTTCTGAGGGCCCAACCTTGGGCTCGGAAAGCCCTAAAGCACCACATACACGTAAATATTTGGGGTGACCCACACCGATCTCCAGGATCCTAAGCAGGCTTCTGAGAGCCCACACTGACCCTGAGTGACCTGAAATGGCCTAGAAGTCCCAAGCCTATCTCTAAGGGATCCCTTGCCGCTATTCCGTTCGTAACTTTTGGTTCCGTTAAATATTTTTTGTTTCCCTTCCCGTGTAAATTTACACGAAAAACGAGAAACTTTTGTTTACACTCGAGTGAACAAAACACTTCCTCTCACTGGAGCAAAGATAAATTACATCCGATTCACACTTCCGACATTCACTCTCCGCCGAATGCCCAATCTAGCTACAATCGGCGGGGGATAAGCCCTGTGCATTTCATGTACCTCTGCATGTACTATTGGTCTCAAGATAAGGGTCCAGGCGACCTGTAGGTTTGATGCGGTGAATACCCCCGCCTTCGCCACACTCGCTTGGTGCTACGGAGCTCCGATCTCGCGACCGGTCACCTGTACTTGTAGACTGTGCCGCATGACATAGCAGTCGAGCGGGCCAGCGGAGCTTAGGCGGAAACTAGCGCCAAGTTTGACAGAGAAGGACGCTCGCCATTCCAGCGGGAGGGCCGCTCACCATTTTAACTCCATGTAGCGTCTCGCTAACAATGAAAGACAACACTGGACGACAATATAGGGTTCGGCAAAAGTTATGTCCACTACCTATGACAACACTTTCCTGTTCCTAATCGTGTCTACACCTGAGGGATGACGATTCAGGCTGCACTCCTGCATTGCACGGTCATTGGCCGCAAAATATGAGGTGACGAACGGGCCTCGGGTCACGGATCACCGAGCTACGGCCAGTTTCACAGAGATTGTCCACCTGAACGGCTGCGTCGCTACGTGAATGTCTGAAATTTCTATCAAGGGAGCTGAACCAGACTGTCGGCATGCTTCAGGCCGAAATGACACAGCGTGTCATTGCTGATTGGTTGGGACATCTGCCTGTTGTTTTTGTTTGCAAGTCTTAATTATAGACGAACTGTCTGCACAGTCCGGTGTTGGTGGGATAAGCATACGGCTGCTGGCAGTGTTGCTGATCGTTCCAGTTCGCCGGCAAGCGCCTACCATTTCAAACGTTACAGAAATCGCATTGAAAAAGGCGACCGGGAAGAGGGGCCAGTAGTTGGCGACAAAATTGGCCAAGCGGCTCGCGCTGAAGCGCTATCACATCTCCAAACAGGACCGTGAGACGCTTGGAAGAGCTCTCCAAGGCTCATTACCTACCTTTGGCCCAATACTAAGCCAACGCATGGTCAATGACATGTTGACATGCATTTTCAATCAGGACGGCGCGCCAGCTCATCGCTCTGCCAAGGCCTAGCAGTGGTGCGAATTGAACGTGCCAGACTTCTGAAGGAAAGAGATGCTAGCCCGCTGCCCTCCGGACCTCATCCTGATCGACGAACTTCGGGCTGTCGTCCAGCAGGACCTGGACAAACAGAAGCCGGCGGCCAACCTCGGCGCCTTGTCGTTACAGCTCAAACGGGCATGGTAAAAAATCCAGCCGTTACTGCACAACCTAGCTGCCACATGCA